CAATGTATTTGTCGTCGTATTTACATAGTCAAGCACCAAAGATTAACGAAAATCAAGTATATTAAATATTTTATTGACAGCCGACTGAAGCGTAAGCATGCCCACTCGTACTAGCGGTAACGCATGTAAAGTACGAGTGCGCATGTCAAGAAGAGTTAATTAAAGAGACAGTTTGATTATAACACACAAGAAGAATAGTCTATTATATATTACACGACTAAATTTACATAACAGGTTAAAGCCTCCGTTCAATACGTTCAGTGAACGCTTAGAGAAAGCATTTGAAAGCGATCTACACAATTATATTCTGTTAACGAAATGCAAATGGAATATTCATTGGCGTTGTATTCTATCCAAAAGAATAGTTTTTGTAACGAAAAAAATAAAGGTTCAAAATCGGCTTACCTCACGTTAGTAAATGTAAGATTGCTAACACCATATGCTTCAATGTTTGTAAATGTAGCTCGATAGCCATCTTCTCCGCCGCCCAGTTGAATATTTATTTCATCGACATTAACTGGTTCAATCTGAAACATCAGGACATTTTTATTAAAATAATGAAAATGACAATCTTCGATCTAAAAGTAAGAAAATCCTACGGAATTCAAAATTCATTTCAACGTATAACATAGAATTGGTTGCTTATATGCGAAGAAGCTTATTAATTTGCGGTGAGGGTAATTAGAGTGTTTTCACTTTCTCTGTAATCAATTTGCATTCGCATGCGAATTAATCGTTCGGGCTGAAAAATGGTGTAAATTGAACGCAACACCATCGTTTTGGTTTTTTATTACCTTACCGCCGTCAAATGGAATCAAGCTGCGTTTGAACTTAAAAAAAAGCAGTTCAAGAGTAAACAAATCAAATTGAGAAAAAAAATAAAAAGTGAATGACAAATTTAGCATCAACGGATGAGTGAAGGAGTACGCGAATAAAAACGTTTAGACCAAAAAAATCTTGACATAATTTACCACTGTATACGTTATTAACCCTCTAGTGCATAGCCCTGCCTTTAGGCAGGGTGTATGAATTATTGTCATTTTATATCCATTTGACATTTGGTTTATGGGTAGATATTTATCTGCAGGCTCAAAAGTGCGTAAAAACGCATGCCATGAAAAAAGTAATTATTATACACTCTCACTGCATTTTTAGAAACTATTTTAAACTAATTAATCCTCAAAAATACAACAACACATATAAAAAAACATCTGTTTTTACATAGATGTGTTGTTGTAGTTTGTATGAAATACAACAACAAATCTATTTGAAAAAAAAAAACCATTTATTTTTGCTTTTACATGCGACCATTTAATATGCTGTTTTTATTCTAGAGCAATCAAATAATAAAAAAATAAGCCGAAAGATTACAAACAACAAGACGAAAATTGTCGTAAACAATGGTTTCAAACATATTGTCTAATGCATAGCCCTGCCTTTAGGCACGATTCGGTTTTTTGCATATTTTTTTTAACCACGCATTTTTTTAGATTTTAATCATTTTTTTAGTGTTATTATCACAACAAAATCAACTAGAAAAAAATTCCCAGCTCTGGGAAAAATTAATGCAGTAGAGGGTTAAGCGAAAGAATTGCTTATAGAAATACTCATGGGCAATGAAGTTTTTAAAGACAAAGAAGAGAAAAGAAACGTATTTATTGATGTTATAAACATAGCAGCTATTGCGTAAAGGTCGTGCGCATGCAGATGATTCAGTTTACAGCATGCGATCAGATTTTATTGATAATGATATTGAATTTTGTCGGCTTAGGTTTTCATTGTCTTGTTTTGATCGTTTTGTTTGAAATCGATTTTGGGACATCCTATCCGTTGACGAAAGAAGATGGCCATACAAAACATTGTGACCGATTGCAACACATTGTCCAAAGTTTATTTTTATTTATTCAATTCATTCTTTTTTTATGTATTCAAATTGAATTTTTATTGCCCGATATGTACGACGCACTGGGTCAAATGATTCATCCATCGCATTTGAATTCTAATTTTATGCAAAACACACTTTTTTAATTTTAAACACAATTTGCATGGATCAGCACCATTGCGAACTCAAACGATACAAGAAAAATTCTGTTTTTAAAACACCATAAAATTGAAAATTAAATAGGTTTGTGTGTCGATGGCCAAACAACGACAATTTGAACAAAACAACAAAAGGGGTTTATGGTTCAACGCTGTAACTGGAAAAGTTGTTCTTACTAAATCGTTTGTCTTCTTTATTCTGCGAATTCTACGCATGACTTCTAGAACACAATCAAACGAAATAACCGTTTTTAACTTACGTCTTCAAAGCCGAGTTCGGGAATTCCAGCTTGAAGCAGACGTGCTAATCGATCTAAAATAAATTTATATTTGTAAATAAAATTTAAAATTATATTTCTAACCATAAATAAAAAAAATTATTCAAATTAAAAAAATTACACACTGGCACTCTTCATTAGGCAGGTATTGACCTCTGGATCATCTCGAGAACATTGATTGACGTAGTAGGCTGTTGTGAAAAAGAAACAGTTTCATTTATAATTGGAGAATCTTCAGCATTCACATTCAATTCGGAATTGAGTTAAACTTACGTTGAAGAGTCAAAACAACCATTGACAAAGCAGCCACAGTCGCTCCCACTAAATATACATATTTCGATTGCATGTTGATTCTTTCTGCAATAATTTCCAAATAATTTACTTTTAAATGCATCGCACAGTTGTTTGCATTAAAATCACACACAATGCTACGAGTTTGATGAAAGTACTTATATGTCTTTGATAGATAATATGTTCTGATGAAGCATTTGGTGCAGTAACCAATAAAGTCTTTGTGATCATCGTCGTTGATGGCATTTTAAAACGATTACAAGGCAAAACATGTTTATTATGATCAGCCTTTCTTTCTATCGCTTAGTACGATCGTTATGTTTTTTTCTCGGATTTGGTTTACATTGTATAAACGGACATTGCCCCACCAAACATGCATTATCGTAGTAATTAATATTTAAAACACTTGCGCTTTTACGGGAAAACCAAAGTAAAAGGCAAATTGAAATTTCGAAGCATGGGCTTTTCTTTGGAGAGTTGTCAACTCATATGTGCTTCACAACTTTTGATTTATTCTCTAACTTTCAAATAAATAAATCAATACGTTTGCCAAACTGTCTTTGACCAATTTCACCAAATTGAGCGCATCCCAAAGTGAAAACTTTCCAGATGTTTTATCACATTCATATTGTTAATATAATATGTTGACATTTTAGAGGAGAATACTGTATTTATTTCACTGTGTGTTCTTTAAACTGATTATTTCAGAGAGCGTGACAGAGATTTCAGAATATTTTAAATTTTAAATATTAAAAAAAACGTAAAAACTCGGCCCCAAAAATTATTACTCACCAAAAGAAAGTTGTAGAAAATATAGGTAGAATCAAACAAAACGATGGACAAAACACAACAAATGGATTTCTTTTACTGGGAATTCTTTCACTTTAACTTTGTTGGCAAGCGCGTCACTCTTTCCATACACACAATTGCGCGTGATAAAATTCATGAAAACAGAGCACACTATAAACACATTAAAATAACGGAATCACACACAAAATGAAATTCACTTGAAGACGCCGACGAGAAGAGTGTATGAGTAATGATCGAGAAAGAAACAGTTTTTTTTTCTCTTAACGTATGAGTGCCCGTAGTGTTTCAACAACGTGAATACTTTCTTCGACGAGGTCTAGGTCACGATTAACCGATGCTTCGTTCCATGCAGCTTATTTTATACGAAGATCGGCGGAAATGCGAAAGAGAGAAAGACTCTGGTGACAACCATATATACAAAAAGATCGAAATGTTCAATCAACGGTTTTCATCTTCATTGGCACGTAACATACGGTTGTTATTTGGTGTTCTTTAGACTGGATAGTTTAAAAATTGATTATTGATATAAAACAAAAGAAAATTGATAGATTTTCGTTCTTTCTATTCGAGAAGGAGAACATCTTAGATCACGAAGACCTCAAAGTTTTGTTGGATCACTACATTTCGCTACCTTTACAATATATGAGAGAACAAATGTAGGCAACTTAAATGGGATTAGAACGAAGCTTTTCGAATGTCGCCTGAATGTTCTTTATCAAGAATATTGAGTAAAACTTGGTTTTGAGTCAAATTTACAATCAAGCGCCCTCAGACGAATACATGACCAATACGTTTCCAAGAAAAATATGAAAAAATATTGCTATTTGTGTCAAATGTACATTTTTATTAGGAATTTTTTGTTTTAATGCATCTTAGATTGAGAATAGAATCAAGTGAATGATTATCAGCAGTCATTCGAGGGTACGTTGAATAATTTTTACATAAAAAATCACGTAAAATCAATAATAATAAAAATAACCGTAAAATTAATTTTGCTTGAATTTTATTTGCTTAAAGTTTATTATCCAAGCCGAATGGGGTTTGAATTGCTTTTGAAAAGAACAATGCGTAACAAATTTTCAAAGAATACAAATGTAGAAAATAATATGATTGATGGTGATGGATAAATATAAACGCTAAATGATTTTTCAACGAATGCCGCCTAATACGCAGTTGTGTTTTGTGATCGAGAACTTAAATTAAAATACATATTTAACGCTAACAATATTTTAGTCAATTCGCATAAAATTATTAGGTTTGTTGATGTTGTTGCCCCATAAATACTTTTAGAGATGCTTCGCCGTAACATTGACGTCATAAAACATACAGCACTTCATACGTCATGTACACAATTGGTGATGATTACAATTTTATGCGATAAAATGTTGTTATTTGGATCACGATCTTGCTCACTTAATCTATCAAGAATGCTTCACGGGGAACGTGCTTCAAATAGTAAATGAAAAAAATAAACATAATGATTACAATAAGAATAAATACAAAACAAAAATAATGTAAAATCCTACCTTCAAGAGTTGATTCGCAATGCCCGAAAATTCCACCGATAATTTCTTCTGCAGTTGCGGTTGCATAGCTTTGAGCACTTCAATACCATTTTCGCGCAAGAACAAATTTGTAGCTTCGGCTGCAATAAAAATTATTTACAAATACAATTCACTTCAATGCGAAAAAAAATGATGCGATGTTGTAATAACATTTCGATAATAATTTAAGCTTACTTAAAATGCGGTTGTTTTTGAACACCTTGGCGATGTGCATGCGCACTTTCTTCACATTCAATTCCATGGCTAAGCTATCGACATGCAAGTATGTTTTGCCATTTTTATCGTCAGTTGAAACTTGTCCTTTTAAATCGGCAATAACGCCATCTAGTACGGCATCAAAATCACCGGAACCACTGGCTGGAATGATCAGCAATACACCTGAACTGGCGTATTTGGCACGGATTGTCAAACGGGGAATTGCAACACGAGCTTCAAATGGCCGATTATTCTCACTCAATCTAATCAAATAGAAAACCACAGATACATTGAAGTTGATTTAATTTGAAGAAAAGGTTAATTTTGTACACTCACTTAATGCTTTTGACAGTAAAGTTGCTTGCTCCGAAAATTTCCATATTTTTTAGATTCACGCGGTAGCCTTGTGGTCCCCCCGTAAGCTGTAGCGAAAGTGAATCCATTATGAATGGCTCAACCGATGGCATCTATTCAAAAAAAATATATATGATAAAATAAATACATCAAATCTCCAAAACTAAAATGGATTCGATATTGAGTTGAAACGATTAATTGCACTGAACATTTTTATGCTAAACGACGTAAAATCGACAATAATATCAATGAATTGCATATTTCTTTGTCTCATCAATTCAATCATTAATCGAATGTGCTTAAACAGGAACTTATAACCATAAAAAATTAAAATTAAAAAAAAAATCCGATCGTATTGTTGAAAAAAATTGTGTATTGGAAGGTTTTCGTGAAAGTAGATTGGACGCAAGAAACAATGCATAGCAATGCATCACGTCAGCAATTATTCGCAATATTCATGATTAACGTAAATATTGCGTACAATGAGGCGAATCTGGCGTGACTTTAATGAATTCACTGACTTCGATAAACATAATAATATTTCATCTCGATGTCTAAATTAAATACAAAATGATCGCGATTGTCGGTTTATTGTTCGTGAGAATTTATGCAAAGAAGGTTTTTATTGAATTTGACTCTATAAATAGATTCCACATCTTAATTAACATCTTAGAAAAACTTTCCACTGGAAACACTCTGATTTAAAGAGCTATTCCTTACATTTTCCATTTGAAATAAATACAAACAAATAAAAGCAACACAGTTTTTGATTCTTGACGTTTCCGCCAACTATAGATTTTATAGTGAATGGAATCTTTTATCCAGGATGTATTATTTACTTCCTAAATAAACGTATCTGGTGATTTCTTTTATCAAGCATGCAAAGATATACACAGTTCAAGACAGATTCAAAGCAAATTGAGATTGATGAAATTTCAATGCATTTTCAACTGCAATCAACAACGTAAAAAGAATTAATGAGTACAGAAAAAAAAGATTGATCGACATACCTCAATTTCTGGTATTCCTTGTGCTAAATATGGTCTCAAGTGATGCAAACTACCTTTTAGACAATCGAGCAGTTTTGGGTCCGATCGATGACATTGGATTATGTATTCAGCTAAACAAAAAAACAAGCAGAATATTGATAAAAAAAATAAACATAAACGTTCAGACCGGTGAGTGAATAAAGGAAAAAAATATGTGCATACGAATGCGGTGATAAAAAAAACAACTGGCGATTGGCAAGTCGATTTGTTTGACTTCGTATGTGAAAATTTAAATCTTTCAACATTTCTTTCAATATTAGAGCTCAGAGACTTTGAGAACATATGCGAGCGCGCAATAAACACATAAATTAATAACTAAACATTTCTTCATATGATTCAAAATTCACATCAGACTTGCGTTTGGCTCAAACACATTGCAACAAAAAGCGATAAGGCTACGGACAACAGAAGACAAGTAAAAAGAAACTTGAATGGAACTATTTACAAATTGCAATCACAAATTTTCGTTTGGCAATCTTCAAAAGAAAAAAAAAATATCATAGAAAACACAATTTTTTGTGTAATGCAAACAACTTTCCATAGTGTATTATTGACTTCGAGAAAAAATCGATTTAGAAAAAAAACATAAACGTCTCTAATTTAATGCAAAGACAATTTACCAGCTCCTAAACAAATGCGGGCTATGTGTATGTCACTAAATCTCTCACAACGACTCGTATCCAAATATCATAATTATCTAATCATGTCGATTCTCCGCCAATTTTGATGAGTAGGGCAGACTTTGTGATCACCGCACAGCAAAATAGAAAATAAACTGAGTTGTTTTGAGCCTCGTGCGCAATGCAATGCGCAAATTGTCACGCAAATCTACCGAATTACATCAGTTTCACAGTCTGGTGTGTACAATGTGATGTGTGCTGTGCACAGCCTGTGCTGCTCTCAATTCTCATACGATGTATGCACAAGCACAACGATGCTGTGCTCATATATGCGATTGAAAAAATCCTCCATCAATGTATTAATATGCACACGAGATAGTCGATTGACACAATTTATGATATCTCTCTATTTCTCTTTATCGAATGCAAGAATTATTATCGAACTAAAAGTGTGTGCGAAATGAAACACCTCAAACTGCAATGGGACTTGTTGTACGTGCGAGCGCATGTAGAGAGTGAATCATTTGAGGTGTCGATTCATGTTTTTAATTGACGCTATCAAACGATTGACCGGCAAAACGTGTTTTCCAAACGAGACAGCACTCTTATCACATATTATCGGAGAAATAAAATACCTCGAATCAAATGCAATTTTAATTATAGGCCTACTACTTCGAGGCTGAAAGAACATCTGGGCCGTTTCGTGTTCTGAATGGCAATTTTATTAATTTATTTGAGCATGAATTCGATTGAATTAAATAAATAAATCGACACAAATCAGTTCTAATGCTTCGCCGAAGACAGAATAAAAATGATGGTTCAAACAAGATCGATAAAATGAATGGTATTTATGGTTATTGACCCATTGAGTGCTACTATAAATGTGCATTCAAAACGGAAAATTGCGTAAATGTCATTCTATCGTTAAAAAAACTCCAATCGAACAACCATGAAATCGAAATTGGATAAGCATAAGCTTGCCAAACCGGAACGATTGGTTGGAGCAATAAATGCATCATGTTTACCGGCGAGTAAAAAAATCGACTTTAATTAGCAAAAATGTGGGAATTAATATTACTGCCTGAAAAATGAATTAAGTGTACATGTACACTGTATGTGCATTGAGCGACTTCTTCCGAATGGAAGTTTTTTTTTGAATGGAAGTACAAGTTTAAAATGGCAATTTTAACGGTCTCACATACATGTGGCTGCGACAAAAAATGGCTAAAATTCCATAAAGTATATAAAACCAGAATCAGTTAAATGAAGAAGCAAAAACCGATTGCCATTCGCATTCTATATGTTTAACTTTCGGATCGATTCTATACATAATTTTTCGTCGTATTTTTTTGAGCGGTTTTATTTGAAATTTAATGTCGATTTATATTTCTCAACAATTTTGGAATTAAATTCCAATTTGTCTTGCACTCTCCGTCTGCCATGTCATGATACTCTCCGCTTTTGGTGCAGCATTTGGTTTTTGAGATTAGCGCTCAAAACACGGTTACTTTTCATACGTCAATCCGTGAACTATTATATAACATATATTCTAACTACATTTACATGCGCGTCAAAAATCAATATTTTTTTTATCGTGCAGGCTGCAAAGTGCATGTATGATGTTTGATGCCAATGCATTTAAACTCATGTTTGAAAAACTGATGAAAACGAAACACTGTTTGGCAACCAAAAAAAAACATTTACTGCTTTTTTGATGTTCATTTAAAGTTCGAAATTCGATTGCATATAAACGAGAGCGGTTAAGGTAAACATGCGCGTTGCGCGCAAACTGAATTTTATATCTGGCAATTCGCGATCTTTGTGTAAAAGTGTGTGCGAACGCACACACATAAATTGACCAATTTCCTGTGACTGCGAAACGAATGGGCGTAGATCCGGTCGACAAGTTCATTAAGCCAAACTTTAAACTAAGTTCTTTGGCATTAAATTGCAGTGTCAAGTCATCATCAATTTATTAAGCAGAATGGTTGTAAACTTAAATAATAAACATACAAAAAAATTATCAACCATTCTTCGAAGGCTTGTTGAAAATTCGAATGGTTTGCATTTATGATAATAATCGTTTGAAATTGAACTTACATAACGAGCTTTTTAGAACCAGTTTCTGTGGATGATGCAATTTAACGGTGTTCTCTTCAAAAGCATTTTCATTCAATTTTTTTTCATGATTTACTTGAGCAGGTCTTTTTTTTAATTTTTCGATTGCAAAATCGTGTATCGTGTTTTAGTTTTTTTTTTTCAAATTCTACTTCCAATTTGTGAATTAAACTAATCAAATGCAACACATACAAAAAAGAAAAAAACGTGTGCGCTTGTCCTTGATTCCATTTTTTTCTCTCTAGACTTGTTGAATATAATTTTGCGCCGAATACAGAGTGAATGAATGAACTATGAAGCGCGTATGTGCTCGAGTGCTACTCGGTCATTTACGTCAATTGAAAATCACAGATTTTTATAACAAGATTAATTCGAGTGGTTATCATGCAAAGATTCTGATAACAATTTAATTGCTTTCTTGAACGGAACTTCCCCAAGGTTTTTTCCATGTTCTTTTACACTGTTTGTTGTTTGCTTATTTTTCATTGACAATTCAGATCTTTAACGACATACATGGAATTTTATGCATCAAAAATATGTGTCATTGTTGTTTGTTATGCCGGGGATTTACGTAATAAAATGTTCGTTATCAAAGTTCAATTTTTTATATTTGTTTGCCTTTCAAATTATGCAAGATCTGAGATGATATTGAGTCTTCACTTGAAAACGATGGACAAACTGAAAAATTGCATTGAACCCCTTAACAAAATAGCATACGATCATCAGATTGTGCAAATTTGCAAAGTACACAAACTGATGATTCGCAATGGATTTGCACTATTATTTATGCATTGACGATAACGAACGTCGAACTCTTGTGATCAAGTTTATATTGAAGTCAGATGTTTTCCGCAATTTATGTTATAAATTTATTAATTTATTTCAATGATATAGCTTGCATTGGTTTATGTCTCAGCGCGTCTACAAGTGAAAGAGAAAATGCATGCAAAGCTTCCTTTACCAATAAATACGTATAATGAATATATCTTGCTTTTATCAGAGCAACATACGACGCAGCATAGACGCGAGTTATACAATCGGTATAGGAAGTGAAGAATCACGTCTAACGTGAACTGAAATACAACATATACAAACTGAATATTTTTATGTGTAAGCGGCTTTTTTAATTTCAACTAAGAGAAAAGTGAATTGATTTTCAGATTGCATCATCAAAACAGGCGAGTGTATATAAATTTCAAAAACCACACAATTTACGTTGAAAAAATTCACACACTGAATACAATTTTTAAGCACAGATCAACACTTTTTTTTGAAACACGCCTTTTGCTGTGGTTCTTTGTTTGTCTCTTTAAAAAAAATGATTTCCCAATTTAAAAATGAAATTAAAATAGAAAATATTTTTTTACTTACGGACATCAGATGCAGCTGTAGACAGAGATATTGCCAAAGTGGCTACGATGAATAAGAAACCCCACATTTTTATAGCTTTTAAAAATTTTATGAATTAAAAAGAATCTATTTTTTGAGAAAATTTGATTTTCAAATTGTAATACTTTAAAAGTTCGATTGTTTGGTAGACAAAATTTCTATTCAAAATGATCTATGATTAGATTGAGATTGTTGAGAGTTGAAGATCTCGACTGCGACTGAGTAGCCACGAGTGTTTACAATGATTTTTAAGAGCCAAAAAAACTACCACATTCAATCAGTTTGCGTTTTATGTTCAGACACGGTTTTTTTTCTGTGAAGGAAACAACGAGCGCATACAAAAATCCAAAGAGTAAATTTTAACCGAATGAGAGAAAAAATAAGCATACCAATGAAATCGAAATGAACCACACGAAACATACTACAAAGACATGCTTACTAGACGATGTATTGTACATAGCTGCCACTTCAACAGATTCAGTAAACACACGGCGAATAAATAAAAACAACAACCCAAGCTACTATTCGTATGGTGGTAGCCAACGTGAGTGAGTTAGTTAGACAACGATTGAACAGTTCTCTGTCAAAAGATATATGCCAATTTACTTATAACTTCTTCAAAAAAAAACCAGACAATATATTGAACTAACTGGTCAGTTGAGTTGACAGTACGTTAGCCAGCTAAATGGACTAAAACAATAAAAGTTATTGTTATAATGAACAATCAATTCTATTAAAACAAGAAAAGTGATTCATCATTAAAACAATAACGTCTATTCTTTTAGTCCATTTAGCTGGCTAACGTACTGTCAGCTCAACTGACCAGTTAATTCAATATATTGTCTGAAAAAAACTACTTCACAGATTTGCGGGGAATTTCTTCATTTGATTGAAACCAAATGCAATCGAAAGTGATTCGCTGTGTGAAAGAAAGAAAGGAAGAGTGAGCACAGAGAATTTATGACAGTATGGTCGTAGACGCGACATTTGATTTTAAATGATGAGCGGTGTTTGCTATTTACCGATTCACTATACAACTAATGAATGACAAACAAATACCAATAAATGAACTCAACAGAAGGTTTTTAACATGTGGTTTTAACGCATATCTGAACGAAATTCATTAGAACTGAATATAATTTTTTCAGCTCGATAAGGTTCAGTCAGATATTTTCAGTCGGAAGGAGTTGTTTTATTTACTGCGATTTTTGTGATGGTAATGAAGAAAAATGACGTATTTTCATTTTTACATTCATACAGCTCCAGCCTCTTTGGGTTTCTATGAAGTTTTTTCTCTCTTTATGATAATAATAAAAATGCAGCAAAAATGAACAAACTGACATGGTTAAAGTGATAAATTTAACTTTTTTTTTCTTTCGCAGTAAATCACACAGGTACAACAAATCACAAAAGTTGCACATGGTCACCGATGTTACTTTGTTTAGTTTAATTTTATCTTAACTGAGTCTGAGATGCATTGATCAGTAGCGAATCTTTACGCTTAAATATTTACTGTCGATAACAAAATGATTCTCTCGTCGATATGTATTGTTTGCCGGTGACTAATTTTATTTGCTGAATGAATTTTCATTTGTTTGCACTCATACACACACACACACACTAAACTTAGACTGTTGTGTATTTCTTCTTCTAAAAAAACTAGTTTCAAGATCAAACCAGCTAGGAAAGATGTACAAATTTCTCTCCATCATATTGTTGATTGGTGATTAGAAATTTACGTTAAATATTGGTTGAGATGATAAGATATTACTGAACACGGAAAGGAAACAACTCGTATCAATCAATAGGCGTCTAAGTGTAACTGGTTTCACAGAACTTAATATTCTATATGTTCAATTTATTTGGATAACAATTTACAAGCAGATGAAAGGTACTTGACATTGAAACGGTTTAGTAATCTGAATATTGTTTTGAGTGTGAATGTTTGCATGCAAAACATGTTTTAGTTTGGACGTAACAATAAAGGTTCAACAAGTTCGAAAGAAATTCTGTATGAGATATGTTGAAAATTTCAGTCAAAACACGTATCGATTCAAGAAATAGACTGGTTTCTTAAGTGTAAATATATATATTTTGTGCAATGAATTGCCTATTTTATGTTTGGGAGATATACAAAATGTTGGCATTGATTTTTCCTTGCTACGGCATTCAAAAGCGACAACTCTATTCATAGTTGCTTTGAAAGACATCTACAACACCAATTTTAAGCGTTGGACATTGAGATTTTAAAGTTGAACAATTATACATCCGAAAAAGTTTCATGCAAAAAAAAAGAAAATTCTGTGACCATCAAACTCTGACCATCTGGACGATAATTATGCAAATATTACCAAACAAATAATGCCACTCTCTCTCCCTCTCTTGAATGCTATACCAAAAAATCACCAACATTCACACAATGTTTTAGCTGCCATTCACCGCACACAGCTCTCTTCGTCGCATTGGTGAAATTGTAGTAATAATAATTGACACCAAATATTGATTTTTTGTTCTTTAAACTCAATAAATATTCTATTGTTTGTGCTGTTGTCCGGCCATACACTCTGCTCAAATAATTTGTTGTATTTAGTTTATTTGGCATTCAACGTAAGTGACAATTTGTGAATTATGTGGTTTTTGTCACCGTGAATCATACGTACCACGAATTTTATTTTTATTTTTTTGTTCTTCATATATTCGCCGCTTCGGTTCTCAATCCCAAACAAAAATGTGTTCGAGCATTTAAATGTTGGAATAACAATTGAATATGTGCCAATT